GAAGTTGTATGGGTTGAAGATGGCAGAGTCAGGCGATCTTATTGCTCATGTCAACAACTTCAACCAAATCATTGGAGATCTGGAGCATATTGAGGACGAGGATAAAGCCATGATCTTGCTGTGTTCTCTTCCTCCTCAGTTCGAGACTTTGGTGACAGCAATTACAGTCGAAAAAACGACTATATCGCTGGAGACGGTTTGTACTTCGCTGCAATCCCATTGGGAAAGGCAGCAGAACATTACAAATGGTGGACAAGTCTCAAGGTGATGGTTTGTACATGAATAGCAACCAGCAACAAGGAAGGCAAGAAAAGAAGCAGGATGGAAGTAAAAGGGACAAGTCGAAGTCTAAGCCAGGGAAAAATTTGATGTGCTTTGGTTGTGGTCAAAAAGGCCATTATCGAAGGGATTGTCCTAACAGAAAACAGAACGTAGACTTGGTTCTGCAAACATGGTTCAGAAGGAGGATTCAGATGACAGTGTAGGCGATTTGTTGGTTGTGACATTTGGTGATCACACAGACTCTTGGATACTATATACGAGTGCATCATTCCATATGACTCCTCACAGAGAATGGTTTTAGACGTATAGGAGTGAAACATGGGCTCTGTTCAGTTGGAAAACGACATGTCATGTGGTGTCGTTGGTACTGGAGAGGTCAAGTTTCGTATGCATGATGGCATCATCCAGAACATTGACTGATGTTAGGCATATTCCAGGGATTACGAAGAATTTGGTCTCTTTAGGTACTCTTCACAAAAACAAATTTAGACTCAGAGGTGATGAAGATGAAGACTTTTTGAAGGTTTGTAAAGGATCTATGGTGGTGATTAAAGGGAAGATGACAGCTGGGAACGTTTACAGGATGTTAGGGAGTGTGGTTGTAAGTGGAGCTGCAACTGCTCTGTTTGAATCTGATAGCACAACTCTTTGGCATAGCGCCTGGGGCATATAGGAGAGCATGGTTTTCTTGAACTCCATAAAAGGGGTCTTCTGGATGGTTTAAAGAATTACAAGATGGATTTCTGCAAGTTCTGTGTGATGGAAAAGCAGTCCAAAGTTTCATTCAAGACAAGACAACACACGACAAAGGGTATTTTAGACTATGTCATTCTGATGTATGGGGTCCAACTCGGGAACTGTCATTGGGAGGGTCTAGGTACTTCGTCATCTTCATTGATGACTTCTCTAGGAAGGTTTGGGTGTACTTCTAAAGCAGAAATCTGAAGTTTTTGCCAACTTCAAGGTTTGGAAGGCTGAAGTCGAAAATCAGGTAGAGAAGAAGGTTAAGTATCTAAGATCAGATAATGGCCCAGAATATACTGATGGAGAGATCCAGAAGTTCTGTGAGGAGCATGACATTCAAAGACACTTCACTGTCAGGAAAACACCACAACAAAACGGTGTCAGTGAGAGGATGAACCAAACTATTACAGAAAAAGAAAGGTGTTTGAGGTTGAATGCAGGGCTTCCTAAGCAGTTCTGGGCAAACGCAGTAAACATGGCGGTGTATCTCATCAATAGGTCGCCTAGGAGTTCTCTAAAAGGGAAGGTAGCTGAAGAGATTTGGACTAGGACAGATATTGATCTGTCAAACTTGAAGATATTTGAATGTCCAGCTTACATGCTGGTTCCAAGTGATGAAAGATCAAAAATGGATTCAAAATCTAAGAAGTGCATATTTCTGGATTTTGGAAAAAGTGTGAAAGGCTTCAAGTTATATGATCATGTTGATAAGAAGAGGGTATTCAGTCGAGATGTGGTCTTTGATGAGCAGTATATGGTGGAGCAGGCGAGATCAGATCGAGTTCCTGTGATCATTGAGACTGAAACGGATTCTGGTACATCACAGGAGGAGTCTAGTGAGACTAGACTAGCAGCAGGACGTGATGGGCAACCTGTTGAGGTGGAGCAGGACGTTCAACATGGAAAAGCAGAGGAGAGTTTGGTACTTCAAAGACCAAGGCGCATCATTAAACCGCCTGAAAGATTAGGATTTGAAGACATGGCGAGTTATGCTTTGATGGTTGGTTCAGGTGATCCAGCAAATTTTCGAGAGGCTATCTCAAGTCTTGAGAAAGATTTCTGGATTGGAGCTATGACAGAAGAGAATGAGAGCCTGGACAGAAATCAAACATGAGATCTAACGCCTTTACCAAAAGGCAAGAGGGCGATAGGATGCAAGTGGGTTTTCAAGATAAAACCTGGGATGTCTGAGAAGGAACCAGTTAAGTACAAGGCAAGGTTAGTGGCAAAGGATTACTCACAGAGGAAAGGGGTTGATTATGACAAAATATTCTCCCCTGTGGTGAGGCACACTTCTATTTAGAGATGTGCTGGGTTTAGTAGCAAGCTGGGATTTCTCTCTTGATCAGATGGATGTAAAGACAGCATTTCTTCATGGAGATCTGGACGAAGAGATCTATATGGAGCAACCAGAGGGATTTGTGAAACCAGGAGAGGAGAAGCTTGTGTGCAGACTTAAAAAGTCTCTGTATGGATTGAAGCAGACTTCTAGGCAATGGTACAAACGTTTTGACTCCTACATGGTGAAGATTGGCTACACAAACTGTGAGTATGACTGCTATGTCTATGTAAGGTATCTGGACGACCATTCTCCCACATACCTACTGCTTTATGTTGATGATATGCTCATTGCTGCGAGAGATATGAAGGATATTGCTAAGCTGAAAGAATTATTTAAGAATAGTTCGATATAAAGGATCTTGGTGCTGCAAAAAAGATCTTTGAGATAGAAATTCGCAGAGAAAGAAGCTCAAGGAGATTATGGCTTTCTCAAAAGAGCTATATTCAGAAGATTGTAGACAGGTTTGACATGAGAGATGCAAAGGCAGTGTCTACACCTTTGGCGATGCACTTCTCACTTTCAGCGATGCAGTATCCTAAGTCTGATCAAGAGATCAGAGATATGTCAAAGGTCCCTTATACAAGTGCATTTGGCTGTTTGATGTATGCTATGGTGTGCACTAGACCTGATTTAGCACAAGCAGTTAATCAAGTGAGCAAGTATATGTCCAATCCTGGAAGAGAACACTGGAAAGCCGTCAAATGGATTTTCAGATATTTAAAGGGTACAACCGATCTTGGGCTTATGTTTGATTGTCAAGAGTGTGGCTCAGTTGTGGGATATGTTGATTCAGATTATGTTGGTGATCTTGACACAGAAGGTCTACTACAGGGTATGTCTTTACTCTTGTTGGAGGTCCTATTTGTTGGAGATCTGTGCTACAATCTGTTGTGGCAATGTCTACCACAGAAGCTGATTATATGGCTATGGGAGAAGCAGCTAAGGAGTCACTTCGGGTTAAAGGATTTGTGACAGAATTGGGTATTGACAAGGTGGAGTTCAGCTATACAGTGATAGTCAGAGTGCTTTGTCTCTAGCCAAGAACCCCGTATACCAAGCAAGGATGAAGCACATTCATATCAGATTTCATAAAATCAGAGAGTTGTCTGCATATGGAGAAGTCTTGTTGGAGAAGGTGCACGCGTCAAAGAATGCAGCTGATATGTTGACCAACTTACTGCGGAAAAGTTCAAGCATTGCTTGGATTTGCTCCATGTTTTCAAGTGCTAAAGAAGATGAAATTCCCCCCGGAAGTGATTGGAGTTTGGAGGTGATTTTTATGGAGATTCTTTGTCAAGGTGGAGATTATTGTTTCTAGTGACAAAGTATTCTAAAAGGGCTCTACTAAACCCCACTGGCCTCATTGGGTCAAAGGCGGACATGGATTCATTTGGGAGGGGGGGTGTGGGGGGGAGGGGGGGTGAAGCCTCCCACATTACATTTTCTTTATTGAGCTTGATTTAGGTTTTCCTTTATCGGGTGGGTTTGAGAGTCGGATTTTTGGGTTATAAATACAAGGCTTAGGGTTTGTAATTATTCATTCACATAATTAATAAAAAAAAAATTGTAAATGGGTGTTTGACTCAATTTGCGATTTCTCTCTATTGTTTATTGCTTTTTTCGTGCTTGATTCACACCAAAGATGATACTTGGACTGAAGATATCATGGATGAAAAATCTGTATCTAAATTATTAGGTCTATGGTAATTTACATAGTTAGAACCTTTCAAAAGTTATTGAATTCAATGTTGATTTAATGGTTAGTATAGATTTCACTCGTCTCTGGAATATATGGACATTGAAGAACCATTAAAAGATAGATATAAGGAAGATGAACGCATACTTTGAAAAAGTCTAATTGGATGGTGAAGAAAAATGGCTGAAATGAATCTGGCAATTGAGGCCACTTAGTATTACAAAGCAACGAGAGAACAAAAAACAAAGATGAAAGTTCTCTTGAAAGGTTCTAGTACGTAGTTTTATCTTTCGAAAGAGATTCATAGATGAGGATACCCAAACGCACTAAACACAATATCACAGAAGTATAGGGCACAAAAGTATAGGGTATCAGTCCAGTGGTCCCAACTGGTGCTCGCTAAGACATCCTCGAGTTCAAAACCTTGCAGCAAGTAATCATCAATTTGCAAATTAGTTTTGCGCTTTTCTCTAGTTTTTATAAAGATATAGGGTCAAAATAAAGATCTAGCGTGTGGTTAAGGGTTAATTTTGTGTACAATAGTAGTTATCTCCACACCAAATCACAATTACCAAACTCTAAACAAAAAGACAATTAGAAAATGTACCTCGGATTCATTCGCTCGACGCCAATGGATAAACGCCACCCGATCTGTAATTTCAAATGGCATATTCTCTCTGCTTTGAAAGTTTGGCGATGGATCTTCTTCTTATCGATTTAGGTTTAGATATATATGCCTCTTTAATATAATAAGATTTTAAAAATTAATTCAGACATATTTTATTTAAAATAAAAGAAAATACAAGACTTTCTTTTTGGTAAAAGAAAGAAACAAGACATGAATTGTTCTGTAGACCAAAACAATTAGGTTTTATTGTATCTAAAAAGCAAAGAAGCAAGCATGACTTGGCGAATTAAAAAGAAACTTGATCACGATCAGTCGTCAACAGCCCAACTGTTTTCTTTGCGAAACTGTGCTTCTTCCTCGGGTGTGTAATCGTTCTCGGCGCTAAAAAAAGTGCGAATCTCTTCAACAGTTTTGGTTTCAATCACACGAACAACTGTTTCGCAAGTAAGATCAAGAAGGCTTTCGATGTTTAGATAATCAGCAGCCAAAATAAGGTGAAAAAGCGTGGATTGATCCATATTTTTCATAAACTCAGCATCCCAGTTCTTGAGCTCCTCAGAAGAGACACCATCACCATCGACGACGACGTGTTTCTTGCAATACTCGATCACTTTGGCAAGGATCTGGCCGGTGACGTTTTCAAGAGGGATTTCGTTACCTACACAGCTATCTTCAACCATGTGAGCGGCTACGGTCTGTGACTGGAGAGCCACCGCTTCTTCAACCTCAAAGGTCTCGCCATCTGAGCTCTTTAACACAATCTTCTTCGACATCGTTCCTTGTTCGTGAGGAGACTGATGAAAAAAATATGGAGTTGGAATACTTTGATGTGAAGAATGACACAAAGTATGAACTATATTGGTGAATATGTTGGTGAATATGGAAATTAACATGTACAGTATTATGTGTTGACCAAACAAAAGATGCGAGGAAATATTATTATGGCCTCCCAAACAAGGATAATTACGTTGGTGAATATGGAAACTAACATGTACCTTATTTTGTGTTGACCAGAGAAAAGATGAAGGAAATATCATTATGGCCTCCCAAACAAGGAAAAAGGAATGAAAATGAAGAAGCTGGCCACAACAATGTATGTGAGGAAATATGATTATGTTTTCAATTTTGCGTTTACAGGAAGGCTAATTATGAGAAATTCATTAATCTCTTCAATTCAAAAACAAAACAAAAAATTTCATTTATCTTTATGATTCATCTCTATGGTAGAAGAACAGATCTTTGGTTGAATAAATGAATGGGTAATTATTTAACTTTCTGCGAAGCTCTTTGGATGTTTTACCGCTAAATATTTGAGGCTTTTGTGCGTGTCTCGTGTTTTGTTTTGATTTCAAAACACATTTCCTTGATCTTCAATATTCTAATTTGTTTCTTCTTGTTTAGGGTTTAGTTCCAAAATCAAATTTCTTCTAATGAATATGATTGAGTTTCCTTGGTCGCTATTTAAACAGAGTTTCCTAATTTCTTACGTGTCTCGCTTAGGGTTAGTTCCAAAATCATATATTTAGCTCTTCGTCGAGTTAAGTTTCCGTTTTTTCTTCATGGATTTTGTTTCCACAATCTTCCATAATCAGTTTATTTCTCGTTTAGATTTCTATCCAAACTTCCAAAGTTAATATTTCAATTCTTGTCTTATCAACTAATCCTCCTATATGAAGTTTGGAAACTAAGCAGAATCTTCTTTGAATGTCTTATAATGGTGTTACTAGGCATGTTCGAGAAGCTTGAGCCAAGGTTGTTTGACTTTCTAAATATCCCGATCCTTAAGGGTTAACTACACAAACATTCTACATGGAAGTAGCTTTTCTTTTTGTTATTTGGGGCATCAAATTAACAAAAGAAACGTACAAATAAAGACTACTAATTAGCCATCAATTCTAACAACAGTAGACCTCAGAAGTCATTGTCCAATAAGTTAATTGAAGATTACAGGTCATTGCTCGATATTGAGAACGTATTCTTGCGTTAAAAGCTTAGGATTTTAACTTAGGACGAGAATGTTTTATTTTTTTATTTCTAATATAAGTTGCATTTATCTTTTTTGTTTATATATAATTTGTTTTTGTTATTTATTTTTTTTAAATCAAAAAATTGTTATCATATTATAATCTTAAACAGTAAAATTTGTATATTAGTAGAATAAGAGTATGCGTTAATTAAGTATACATTGATCTAATGTTAATTATAAACTTTGTTATTATGTGAATTTAGATTTACACATAAAAAAATCTATATATATCTATGAATTTGCTAATCCATCCATTTAGTTGTCTTAAATCATTTTTAATATCTTATATGTTTTGACAAACTAACCCGTATAAGACTATAATTATAATTGTATAACCCTATAAATATTTACTAATATGGAATATTTGGACCAATTGATTATGAAAAAATATAATAAGATATTTATTTATTATTTGTGCTATTTTAAAATATATATATATATATATAAACTGGCTAACATGTTAGTTTAATTGTCTCAAATCATCTTAATATCTTACATGTTTTAATAATTAACTCATGGACCTTAAATATATATATATATAACTCTAATCAGCTCGATCATAAATATTGTATAATATAAATATTTATTAATCTCAAATATTTAATATTTTAGACTAATTGATTATGATAAAATACGATAAAATATTTATTTACTATGCATTTTTATAAAAATATTATTTAAATTTAAAATTTTAAATTAAATCTCTCCTGTATTTAAGAAATTTTTAAAGTATTAAAATTATTATCTAAATTTTCGTAATAAAATTTAGTTATAATTTATTTTTGAATTTTTTGAATTTAAATTAAATTGAATGCAAATTTTTGTAATTAAATTTAATTAAATTTCTAATAATTTGAAATTTAAATTAAAGATGAGCTAGATTTTAGGAAATCTAAAAATATCTAAATTAATAACTAATTTTCGGAAATTAAATATAAAAATAAAATAAATATTATAAAAAAAACTTTAGGAGTGTTTGGATGCAAGCACTAAATGTGCTTCTGTTTTAATAGAATAGATTCTTTTTTCCTCTTCTTGAACGTTTGTTAGTACTTAGTTGTATTAACACTAACGGAGTGTTAAGTACCAGTTTAACATAGTTGTATTTTGGCACAATTTAAAATCGTTTGGTTTTTAAGATTTTAATAATAGATTTTGAGCAAAGCAATTTTTTCAAGTCCATTATTATAATGGAAGCTACCATTCAACTTATATTAAGCCATCTCATTCACACCATCATATTTACCGTTTCATCCTCTCAAATGAACTAGTTTACTAAGAAGTGGATTTTGCAAATTTAAATTAGATAAATTGCCAAAATCAAATCTATTCAAACAACGAAATAGCACGACGTCTTGTCGGGAAAAAAAAAATCATACTTGAGAAGCATTTTATAGATGCTTTCAAACTGCTAATGCTCTATAATATTGTTTTCATCATTTTTGTTCTCTATCTTTCAATGCAAAACAAATTCTTTATATTTAGTAATAAAAAAAAATGTTCTCTTCTATATATGTTATCTTCTAATGATGGGTGTATAACTTTGGTTTTAATGATGGGTTTATAAAGCAATGGTTAGATTCAACTTTGTTTTAATGCGATCAAAGAACTCACCTGATTCAAAAGCAATGGCATGTGAGCCCAGACATGGATGAAACTTGGGGGTTTGGCTAGATCATATCTATATCATAAGTCAAGTGAATTCTGGTGCCACTTCATTATTTTGGCATGATAATTGGACATTGCTTGGTCCCCTAATTGACATAACAGGATGTGTTGGCCCATCTGTTACGGGAATTCCATCAATGGCAACAGTTTTCCAAGTTATATCCAATGGGCTGTATCTTCTTCTTGCAACCAGATTATCACCCTTCTCCGAGCTTGCTTACCAAATCATGTTCCAGATCTCGCTCACAGTGCACCTGATATTTACTTGTGGTGTCATTTACCAACTGATAAACCTGGTACGTTTTCCACATCTCGCACTTGGGAATCGCTGCAACCTATTCTCCCTAAGGTCACTTGGTCAAAGCTTTGCTGGTTTAAGCAACGTATTCTGAAGCATGCTTTTCTAATGTGGGTAACTCTAAGAAATAGGCTTATTACCAGAGACAAGTTGATAAGAATAAGATGGGGGCTGGATGTCTCCCTGGATTTTTTATTATGTGCATCTGAGCCAGAAAATTCAGATCACCTTCTCTCTGGTTGTGCCTTCTCCACTGAAATTTGGTCATCTCTCTTCTTTACCCGAGTCTTACAGCTCCAACATCTGTGCAAACACTTGTTATTTGAGACAATAATCACACCATCAATGGCAAGGTCAAGTCGCTTTGTAGACTTGGTTTACAAGTGGTTATCTATACCCTATGGAAGGAACATGTTACATACTTAAGAGATGTGTACCTTTAACTCATTAATCAAGGAATCAAGGTCATACTTCAAGCTAAGCTTGCGGGATTGGACCAACAACCAAATCAAAGTATAAATGGACCACTCTCGGAGAACTCAAATTCATACTTAACTACTTGGTTTAGATACTTCCAATTCTATATTTAGTGAATGTTCTCCTCGTCTTATCTTGCTTCACAAGAGTTTCAATTATTATTACTGTTGTAAAATTGTATTCCAGTCAGTTATATGTTGTAGGGAAGATGGAATAAAAGCAAAATAAATTATATAAAAAAAACCAATAAATGACAGAAAGTGTCAGAGAATTAGACTCAATCAATTTCAATGGTGAATATATATTTCATTTATCTCGAGAATATATATAGACGTTGAAGGGGAAAGATCTAATTCAGTACCAAAAAAAAAAAGCCTACCAGTGCGTATATATATAACTCTCAAGTTTATCCTGATTCAAAAAATCATGAATAAAGCGAGTCAAACAAAAGAAAACGATATATAGCCACTCGAACTCAAAGCATGAAAGCTGATAGGAACACCAAACCTAGAAGATTACTTGGATTTTCTCAAATTGTACGTCAATATCTTCTTTGGTCATAACTTGTCATCACCAAGGTTAATTGTCAGGTTGACCATTTTCCCAGAATTCTTTGTGATCCAACGCTTCTATTTCATTAGCTACTTGGTTATGCATGGTTCGGCTGAAATTTTGCTCTCGTCAAATGAAGAAACCAAGTTATTTAAAAGCAATGGCATGTGAGGCTCAATAAATGGTTAGATTTCACTTATCTCTGAAATATATAAGGACATTAGAGAAACCATTACAAGATAGTAATTATATAAGGAAGATGAAGGCAGAGGAGAGATATTTGGACTAAAGATATCATAGATGAAAAATCTGTATCCAACTTATTAGGTCAATTGTAGTTTACATAGTTAAAACCTTTTTCAAAAATTATTGATTCAATGTTGATTTAAGTAATGGTTAATATAGATTTCACTTATCCCTGGAATATATGGACATTGGAGAAACCATAGAAAGATAGATATAAGGAAGATGAACGCATACTTTAAAACACTTAATTGGATAGGGAAGAAAAATGGCTGAAATGAATCTGGCTATTGAAGCCATTTAGTATTACAAAGCAAGGAGAAAACGAAAAACAAAGATGAAAGTTCTCTTGAAGGTTTTATAGTACGTAAATGTTTTATCTTTAGAAAAGATTCATAAATGAGGATACCCAAAATTTATGTTTTTATGTAGGGCATCACGAAAAGACTATAGTTCTAAGTCGGGATTGCGAGTTTTACTCTGGCCACCAGAATTGAAGAACATCAACCTTACAATAGGTCCCAATCATATTCCATCTTCATCATTCTGCCTTCCAGTAGTGTTCATTCTGCTCGGAATAGGAAAAAGATAAGGACTCATTTAAGAAACTGAGTATTACACTGAACCAAATCAGGGACAAATAGTAGTCTAATACAAATCATGTATGGTTTTTGTATATATACAAGTCTTGCGTGTCAAATATTGAATCCTGTTTCTCAAAAGCTCTTTACTGCAAAAACCTTCTATACACACATACAGCAATAGTGCAATTTTCCTCAGCTACTCACCTTATACTTCCTCCATTTAATTAGCATCCGGAAAAGGAACTTCTACATCCAGAACTTAAAATACAGCTGGCATGAAGTGGTTGCAATGGAGTGGCTGGTTCAAGAAGTCCGCAACTTCAAATGCTTCTCAACCCACAATCTTTAACTTCTTATAGTAAAGACCTCTCTTACTATATAATTAATGTTCCAAGACACATATAGACACTAAAATATACAGATAACAACCATTTATACATCTCAGGTTTTACCTGAAAGCTGCTCGAGCCAAATCATTGGCCGTTTTGGCTCACTATCCCATCACACTCAACTCTGTTTTTGGCCCTCAACTGTAGCAGCAGGACTCGTAGTTCTTGCCTGCATCGAACACAACAAAATCTCTTCAACATAACTTGAATAGTTTGTTGTTTTAATAACATTCAGAATATTCACAATCCCAAAACTTCTCTCTCTCTCTCCTTCTCCCTCTCCCTCTCCCTCTCCCTCTCTCTCTCTCTCTCCCTCTCCCTCCCTCTCTCTCTCTCTCTCTCTCTTTCTCTCTCTCTCCAGGTTTATGTGAGAACAAAAGATAACGACTAATGTCAAGATGGGATCATTCCCCCCAGTAAATTTTGAAAAATTGATGTAATTTATTAATGCCCTATACTAATGCCCTACTTATAAAATCATATCTATTCTATTTGTCCCTAACAATAAAAGTTACTCCGCCACTGGACTGGACCCTTCTTGTGCGCTTTTTTTTTTTTTTTTGGCTAAAAGTCCCTTCTGGTGCTAAGACACCCTCGAGATCAAAACCCTGCAACAAGTAATCATCAATTAGCAAAATTAGTTTTGCGCTTTCCTCTAGTTGTCATAAAGATAAAGGGACAGAAACAAATCAAGCGTTGTCTAGAATAAAAAACTGCTTGTGGTAAAGGGTTAATTTCGTGTACAATAGTAATTATCTCTACACCAAATCACAATTACCAAAAACAAAAAGACAATTAGAAAATACCTCGGATTCATTCGCTCGATGCCAATATTCCAACTGCCCATGGATAAACGTCACCGAATGTATACATATGCCTTTTTTATATAATAAGATTTTAAAGATTAATGAAGACAAATTTTTATTAAAAATAAAAGAAAATACAAGACTTTTTTTTGTAAAAGAAAGAAACAAGACATGAATTGTTCTGTAGACCAAAACAATTAGGTTTTATTGTATCTAAAAACCAAAGAAACAAGCATGACTTGGCGAATTAAAAAGAAACTTCTCAAAGTGATCAACATGATCAGTCGTCAAAAGCCCAACTGTTTTCTTTGCGAATCTCTGCTTCTTCCTCGGGTGTGAGGTCGTTCTCGATTTTTAAAAAAGTGCGAATCTCATCAATAGTTCTGGTTTCGATCACATGAGCAACTGTTTTGCAAGTGAGAGTCCGAAGGCTTTCGATGTTCAGATGATAAGCAGCAAGAGTCAGGTTCAAGAGCGTGGAGTCATCCATACTTTTCGCAAACTCAGTGTCCCAGTTCTTGAGCTCCTCAGAAGAGTCATCACCATCACCATCGACGACGACGTGTTTCTTGCAATACTCGATCACTTTGACGAGGATCTGGCTGGTGACGTTTTCAAGAGGGATTTCATTACCGACACAGCTATCTTCAACCATGTGAGTTATGGTCTGCGACTGGAGAGCCACCGCTTCTTCAACCTCAAAGGTCTTGCCATCTGAGCTCTTCAACACAATCTTCTTCTCCGACATCGTTTCTTGTTTGTGAGGAGATTAATGAAAAAGGTTTGGAGTTAGGATACTTGATGTGAAGAATGACACATGTTGGATAAGCTTTGATTACTTGAAGCCCAAGAAATCTTTAACAAGTCGGTTAAAGATAAGAAGGGAATATTTCTTTATTAGTTTAGGAGTTATCTAATTCTATTAGGAAAATGAAAAGTGTTAAGGGAAGATGTCCTTGCACTATATAAATGATCTTAATGAAGTTGCATTAAGATTAAGAAGAGTAAGTTGAAAGATTATTGTTCTTAGTTTTTGAGTGAGTTTTCTAAACAGCAATAAAGTATTCTTTCCACAAAGTTCTTAAAGTGTATGCGATTATATTTGGTATCAGAGCTTGAGTTAGAAGCGATCCAAACCCTAGTCGTATAAACATGAAGATCATTCAAAACATAGAGATGGGAGACCTAGTTCTGGTGGTTCAAAAGGAATCGACACCAACCTCTATCCAATGTCCCATGTTGACGTCAACTAACTACACAGTATGGGCCATGAGGATGAGGGTTTTACTGCGAATCAACAAGGTGTGGGAGGAGATTGAACCTGGTTCAACCGATGCCAACAAGAAAGATATCGCAACAGGGTTATTGTTTCAAGCCGTTCCGGAGAATCTGATCTTGCAAGTCGGCGAGCAGGAATCTCCAAAAGGAATTTGGGACGCGATCAAAGCACGGAACCTCGGAGCAGATCGTGTCAAGGAGGCTCGTTTACAAACCCTAATGTCCGATTTTGAAAGATTGAAGATGAAGAAACCGGACACAATAGATAGATTTACGGGAAAGTTATCGGAGCTAGCTTCTAAAGCAGCTTCTCTTGGCAAAACTATTGAAGAAACAAAGTTAGTAAGTAAGTTTCTTAATAGCTTGCCAAGAAACAAATTCATCCACATTGTCGCCTCACTTGAGCAAGTCTTGGATTTAAAAACCACAAGCTTCGAAGATATAATAGGGAGACTCAAAGCCTATGAAGAAAGAATCAGTGATTCAGAAAATCACGAAGAGACACAGGGGAAGCTGTTGTACGCAAACTCGGAGCAACAAACCCGTTATGGCTCAAGAGGGAGAGGACGTGGAAGAAGAGGCAGAGGAAACAGAGGACGAGGCAGAGGAGGAAGGTTCAACTCGAAGGATCAATCAACAAACCAGAACGATCAAAGCCAAGGGAAAGAAAATAAGGATAGGCCGAAGATAATTTGTTATTGATGCGATAAGCCTGGACACTTCGCCTCTGCATGTCCTGAAAGAACACAAAGAACTGAAGAAGCAAATAAAGTGGAAACAGAAGAAGCATATGCTGCACTTTATATGCATGAAGTGGTGTTCTTAAACGAGGAAAAGCTGATTCCAAAGAACTTTGAGATCAACAAAGAAGAAGATGGGGTCTGGTACCTCGACAATGGAGCAAGTAATCATATGACGGGCAATATTGAATATTTCTCTGAGCTCAATAAGCGCATCCAGGGTAAAGTAAAATTCGGTGATGGTTCTTGTGTGGAGATAGGAGGGAAAGGATCCATCCTGTTTCAAGGCAAAACCGGCGAACAAAGGCTTGTCATAGACATCTCTTACATTCCAGACCTCAAGAGCAATATCCTAAGCTTAGGACAAGCTACAGAAGTAGGCTGTGATGTAAGGATGAGGAAAGATTACCTTACTCTCAGAGACCCAGGTGGGAGACTACTGGTGCGAGTAACTCGAGAAGCTAACAGACTTTACAAGATAAAGTTGAAGATGGGAAACCAGCAAGTTTACTCTCAAAGGTTGAAGATGAAACATGGAAGTGGCATGCACGGTTTGGGCATATAAGTTTCAAAACACTGAAAGATATGTCTCAACACAAGATGGTCCATGGTCTACCTGCAATACGAGAAGAAAAGGAGCTGTGCGAGTCTTGTCTGGTCGGAAAACAAGCTCGACAATCATTCCCAAAGGCCTCCACGTTCAGAGCTTCAAAACCTCTTGAACTACTTTACGCTGATCTGTGTGGACCAATAACACCACCAACTATTGCCCACAACAGATACGTATTTGTGATCATCGACGATTTTTCAAGGTACATGTGGACTATCTTGATAAAAGAAAAGAGTGATGCTTATGAAAGATTCAAAGCAATTAAAAGCTTGGTGGAGAAGGAACAAAGAAGATCGATGATCTGCTCAAAGTTTAATCCCTAAGCTACTCTGCAAGAGCACAGATATGCAATTGTAGTATAACAGGGGTCGAACCACAGAGACAAGAGATTCGCACAATAAACTATCTAGGCTTGAATTACGCTAAGCAAACACAATGAATTTAAAAGCAACAATGAAAGCAAGACGGTTGTAAACTCGATGGAAAAGAATTAGGCTCAGGGTGTTTCTCAGGAAATCAAAGTATGCAGATCAATCGATTAGTCAGGGTTCAGGTTTAAGCACGGTTCTTGAACTCGAATCACAGAATTATAATTAACCAACTTCCGTTGTGAGAATTATCTAAGTTAAAATCATAGAATTCCAAATTCTTTTGGAAATCCTACAGATTTAAACCAGCTTTAATGCACAAGTTCGATATGTTCACAAAGCAGCTAAACCAAATTCCTTTGCGAATAGCTACTTTGCTCACCTAAGGTTCTTTCCAATTATTCAATTACACTTCCGTGTCAATCAATTAACCTAAGATCTAAGTTCTAGGTGGCCAGTCCAGAATTAGATTTAAGAACAACCTATGGTGAAGAACTAAATAGATTATGAACCCTAACTAACCAATCAATCTAACATCTAATGAAATCCTTTATGAGAACCCTAAACCTAACAAGCAAACTACTCAGACATGGAGATTGAAGCAATAAACATGAATGAATAGATTGCAGAAAAGAAATAATAGATTAATAAACAGGGGTTCGAAATCTTCTCTCTCCGGAACAGAGTTTCAGACTTGTCTCCCCAAAAACTCTCAAAAATAAAAATTCTCTCTAAGAAAATCTAAGATATCGATATAAGGTGGCTAAAAACCCTATTTATAACTTAAAAACACGTTTTGGGCTTCTTTGTAATTATTGGAGACTTTTGGGCCCAACTCCTTCAAACAGGAAACAAAATTACGTTTTCCTTATTTCTGCAACAAGTGTCGAGCGTCACTCTCCATGGTGTCAAGCAACACTAAAGCACATGATTCATCCTTCATGAATTTTATCCTTGTTTAGCTCCAAAGTGCTCCAAAATCACCAATTAAGCTCTAAACATACCTATGACCTGAAAAGACTCCAAAAGACTCGAAAGACACTAAAAAGACTCTATAAATAAGACTTATACCATGGTCCAAAACCATAAAAACCATGATATATCAACTCCCCCAGACTTAGCATTTGCTTGCCCTCAAGCAAAGAGAACACCAAATAAGAGAAAGAGGTTTGAAAACACGGAGACTCAACCTTTCACTGGAAAACATCAATTTTGACCGATCACCATGCAACTCAAATACTGCTTCATCATTCCAAATCGAACCACCATGTACTTCTCCACAGACATTCACAGCTTCCCAGATTAAATCCAAAAAATTCCACAACATTGTCCATAAACCCTCATCGCTGGGTCTCACTAATGATTCAGATGCCAAGAACCTTCTAGACTCTTTCCCGTACTATACTCAAACAAATCAGCCTTACACACTGGTACTTTTCTCTCCCCCAGACTTATTCTTTTCGCACACTCATCATCTCTTTTTTTTATGGTGTATACACGACAAGGTTAAAGCTGTGAGTACTGATGGTGTTTGCCATCGAGTCCCCGAGTTGTCCCCTTACCTTGTATCAAAGGTTTTCAGCGAATAATGGGGCCATAGGAAACTTTCCTACCCCTCGCTTCCTTCCTTTGTGTGATCATTCCAACTTAGAAGTGAAATAATGGGATCCTTGGAAATTTTCCTAGCCCTTCACTCCTAAGCGAAAATCATCTCAATTTTTTCGCCTTTTTCTTTCTTTATTCACCTTTTTAGCTCGTCACAGGGAGAGAAACACCAACATTAGATTTCACACAGGCTTTCATTTCTCAAGTATGAACGAGGAATCAAGCTCTATGAACATCAGTCACATCAAAGAGGTAAAAGAAAGAGTTCATAAATTAGCTCAGGTTAGTGGATTCTGTTGGAAACATGGATGCCTCTAGTCAACTGGTCAGCCTTTGGATTTTTCATTAGTCGGATCTAGACTGAATCTGCAGCAGTGGTCACTTAGATGAAAGGTCAGTACAATAATTCCAGGAAAAACATCATAATCTCCAACAAGTTTTGACTCAAAAACGTTTTGACACGACTGACTCTTAAGAAAAACAAACACAATGTCAGCAACTACCTCCCCCAGACTTAAACAACACTGTCCCCAGTGTTATCTAGTCCGAAGTTGGTGAAATAAAAGAAAGGAAACAGAGAAACGCAGGAAAAACAGAGAACTTACCTGGCTGCAATGATGGTGTCGAGCGACACTGATGATGGTGTCGTGCGACACTTGTTCTTCTCGTACCAAATTGCAGCAGACCACTCTGAATTTCTGGTTGAGAAAATTGCTGAATGGGATGTTTTTAAGTTTTAAATTTGAGGAATAGGATGTTTTGAAAACCATAGAAGGAAAGGGCTGTTTTTACTGTTTGTCTTCCCACAAGGGCCCTTAGGCAAATTTTATTTTCGGAATTGCCATTATCAAAGTAAAATAACTAAAAATTCCTGATTAAATCCGATTTCGTAAACCGATTACACAAAATTATCAACCGAAGTCCAATATCATAAACCGAAGTAAAACCAAATGTATAATTTATCGACACCCCAACATTTGAAATAAAAATTTAATTTGGGATCCACATCTGGACGTCGTCTATCTAGCATCTCCGGCAACCCATCTCCGATTAGCCATCCGATTTACCGTTGTAACGGCGCGGAAAGTAAAAAAATCGTTAAGGCGCAACAACACCGTGCCTCCGGTGTCGAGGCGAGTGCTCTGGAGTAACTCGAAGACAGCTCCGACGGACCACTCGCCCATGCCGCCCGTGCCACCGCGACGGAGTGACCGGGTTGAACATCCCATTCACTCGAGTCGTCTGAATCCACGCCGGCGGTGTAGAGCCAAAGTACAATTCGCTCCTCTTCTTCTAGAATGGCCTGCTCAGAATTCTAAAAGTAAGTTACATTTATGAACTTCGACCTTGTCTGAACTGTACTGGCGGTTTGTAATTAAAATTAAGATTGAAACGGGGCGCTGATTGGCTTCATTTATGTATTAGCGGTTATGAACTGTAGTATTTATGTCTACATATTGATTTCAAACGGTTGGATTACTCTTATATCATAGAGAATCAGTTACAGAAGTTTTTATAGGAGAGCATACGAATAGGGTAGTTTTCCCAGATATATGTTCTCTCTTTCGAACTCCTTCGAACTCCTTTCCCTCAAACATTTCCCATGGGTTTGCATTTCACTGTTTATCCAGAATACTATATCTTCTCGTGCATTTTGGAATTGTTGTTTTCATTAAAATACAGGAATGGAAGACGGAGAACCTTCAAATACAGGCATGGAAGATGGAGAAACTTCAAATAACCTTTCGGAAAAACTACCAAAAAGAGTCCTCGGCGATGGTTGCTACCCCGTTGGTGCTCGGTTGAACATATATTCAAAGGCCAATGTAATTGGCCTCCTTGTCGAGGCGTTAAAGGGTACTGAAGATCTTGAGAAGCTACTTCATTCCCAGTTTGGGAAGTTATTCCATCTACCTGTTGCAAGATGTTGCAACAGCGCCAAACTTGTCCATGCCCTTCTATCACGACAACTTGTGACCACGAAGAAACACGAGATTTGGTTCCTCTTTGGTGGACAGCACAGAAGAAGAAGAAGAAGTCGGAAAAACAGGAATCTGGAAAGACCTGTTCGGAAGAGCGAAGGCTATGAACGTGTATGATGTGCTTGAAATGCTAAAGGACCCGGATCTACCCCGATGGAAACGGCTTCCATTGGCCCTAATCGTTCTTGTCGACGGTGTTCTGTTTTGCAATAGCAAAAATCTAGCCCTCACCGAGAAATACGTTGAGATGTTGAGTGACTTGGATAGGATCATGCTGTATCCATGGGGGAGGGTATCCTTTAACAAAACAGTATCTCGTTTTCAAGCTCCCAAGACAATCACGGATGCTGAGAAAAGGGAGAATCCTGTAACACGATTGCGCCGTCAACTTAAACAGAAAACCAGTGCATGCTATGGATTCCCTCTATCACTACAACTCATGGCCCTCCAATCTATACCAATGTTGGTTTCCAAAATTCCTTAACCTGATAACTTGAAGACATTCCTTGAAGATCCCGAAGGCTGTCAAAACGTTATCACACTGTTGCATCTTGGGGACATACATGCCGTGGAATCCGACCATCTGGTAAATTATTTGTAGTATTATATTTAGTACTATTTGTAGTCTTATTTTGTAGTACTTCTCTTAAAAGATAAGTGCTCTCTCATTTTGGTTGGTAATTTTGCAATTGTATTTTTTTGTCTTAGTTGTCTGTGAAACAAATGGTAGTGGATGATGGTGAGAATGACCAACAAAATGAATTGCGTTGGGGAGATGAGGTAGAGGATGCCGAAGTTGCATTCATGCAGGAACTCATGGCCGAGGGGTACAAATTCACACTTTCGGATTTTGCAGTGGCACCGGCAGCTATCGTGGATATTAGTGATGCGGAGGACGAGGTTACCAATGAACAGGAACCTGAGCCATCCACCCGACCGAAAAAGAAACAGAAAACTCATCAAACTGAAAAACGTAAGATGCAGAGGAAGAGAGGCAGGGGCAAGAACTCTTCTAATCTATCGGAAGATGAAACACCTGAAAGTGGACAGATTAAAGATCTTAAAAGATGGATAGTACTTCAGAATACTTTGCTCCTTCGTGAGATTAAGACCGAGTTGGACAAGAGATTGGGCGTATACCAAGAGGACGAAGAAGATGACGATGTACACCAGTCAAAAGAAGATGGGGAACAAGATGACGAAGGACAGAATACAAAAAAAGATGATGAAAAAGCGGATGAAGATGAAGACGAAGCCGAAGATGGAGGGGCACAGTCTAGCGTACGCCATAATGATGGTGTACACCCCGAAGATGGTGTACACCAGAAAGAAAGAGATGATGAAGAAGGGACCTCTACTTACTACGGCGGGGACCATTATTCTCCCAGGGACCATGCATACTTGAAGACTCCAAAAGCTCCGACGATGACCCCTGAACCGGGACAAGCCAATTCAGGAACAACTCGTCCACCTTCTTACTTCGTCATTCCGGATGAAATTCCACCTTCTGGCCTCAACGAGGTGAGCTAATTGTTTAGTCAGCAGCTGACTCTATTAAGTTTCATAACGTGGGTGTAATGTGCTATGTTTTTTATGACTTATTCAGGTGGATGGTGGTAGAACAAATTTGGTGTCAGGCCCCTTAGTAGTCTACAAACCTCAGACTCCTAACCCATTGAGCTACGCATATAAGAAACATGAAGCGCAGACAGATGCACAGGATGCACATGTCAGACATTAAAGTTGTTCATATGATATGGATGTGTATACAATAGTGTTTAGGTATACGCTAGGTATACGATTGATATGTTATACGCTTTATTGTTACTGTGGTTTGTAGGGTGTGGCTAATGAGGACGACTCAAATGCGGGGAAAGATTACCATACTGCGCCTGAGGATGCAAGTGATGCTTCGCAGAAGACCCCTTGTACTCCAAAACCCCCACAAGAAGTTGAGGAATCGTCTGGTGTAAGGAGAACAAGTGGAGGAACATGAAGAGGAAGAAGAGGTAGAGGAACAGGAAGAGGAGGAAGAAGTAGAGGAAAACGCCAACGTGTACGGTCGGACAAGATTCGAGATATTTACACCGCTGATTCAAAGGTGAAAGCTCTATTTGTATCCAGATCGAAAGCTGCGTACAAACCACTCGAAACAGTTGACCAAGACCACTTCGAGGCATTTCAGGAGTTATTATCGCGTGAAAGAAACATGTAAGTTATATCGTTTTGGAAGCAATTTATCCTTAAACTTTCATTCTAATCAATTACCAATTTCTCTCATTACAGCGACTTTTGCATTGTCACTGGTCATACTGTGAACAATCAATTCTTCCTACAAATTGCGAAGCCTACTGAGTGGGTTAACACGATGGTAAGTATATAGTTAGTACTTACTCAATCTTTAATTATCTGTATTATATGTTATTTATGTTTTGTTTTTCGTCAGCACATGCAAGTCATAATGGCCATGCTTTGGAGACGTAGAGGTGAAATATACTTGAAAGACAGGGTAGCATTTGTAGACACCTTGTTCATATCCATCATCGGCAACTACTACAACGATTTCATATCGCGAGACAAAAATCTGTATGACTGGGGGAAAACCATTCAGGGCATTGTATTGGGAAAACCAGCAAAGTGGGCTAATCAGCGGCAGAGGCAAATGTTTGTACGGGTTTGTGGACGTTGTATACGTCCCCATGAACTGGGGGTCTGAGCATTGGGTGGGCCTTGTAATTGACTTTAAAACGGGCAACATAAAGATTTTGGACTCATTCATCAGTCATAATGATGAAGCGGCTGTGGAGCAGTATATGGCGCCCGTGTGTCAAAGTATGTCATTTATATTGAAGCGTTATTTGGATAGCAAATTAACGGAAGGCCTACGCACCACCCCTTACACATGGAGTCGTTTGGAGGGCATATATCAGAACAAAAGATCCGGTGACTGTGGTCCATGTGCGGCCAAATTCTTAGAGATGCATGCTGCAGGCCTTGGAGTGGAGGATATGGGTTTGATAACGGACGATGACGTTGACAGGTTAAGGGAGAAATACGCCATGGACTCATACGAAGAGTTTGTCGGGAATCCGGCTATTGCCAACGCTTAGGACGAATGTTGAAGTTTAATGTTGAACTTGACAATTTATGCAAGGGTTATTTGTTGGATTATGTGTTTGATAATGTTTAGGATGTGGGTTTATTTGATAATTTATATGCTTATAATATTGTTTACTTTACTATCTATTAATTGGTGTGTCGATTATTTAATTTGCTTATAATTTAGTTTTTGGGTATCCGTACACCTAATAGCGTTTAGTTGTACACCAATATGCATCAAATGGGAGTACATAAAGAAAAATTTGTTTATACTTCACATTATTTTAGTATTTATTAATTGTTGTGTGAATACCTTGTTCCCGGCTAAATATGTACCTGTACACCAATATCCATTTAGGTGTACATCAACTGGGTGTACAACAAGGAAATTTATGGTTTATCCACTAATTTTACAAACTCATTTACAATCTTAACGGTAACCGCATTTAATGTATACGGTCATTTAGTGGGCTTTTTTAATTATTATATATATGCAATATAAAGAACCGTTCCGCTTCACAAAGCCTAAACCGCAGTTATTCCATCTCCATAAACAACCGTTTTCATCACAATTGAACCTCACAAATTAACTATGGCACCAAAGAGAGGGCGATGTGATGCGGATATCCGTGATTGTCAATCCCCTCTGATGGCGCTTCCCGACGAACTATTGGAGAAGGTTCTCGCATACAGTTGTAACTCCGTCCAACAAATTTTCACACTGAAGCAAGTTTGCAAACGGTTCCAGGCCTGCACTTTAACCAACAATTTTCTAGCATCGGTTGATCCCGTGGAATTGGAGATGCCTATTCCCGAAGATTTCGATATGCCTTTTATCGCGTATTGGGAATTTCCCAACTTGTTGAGGACGATGTATGACGCACGCAATCCTGGTTTGTTGTTCATGAAGGGGATGCAAGACTACTTCTGCCGTGGAGACAAATGTGGCATAAAACTCATCAGGGAATCTGCAGATATGGGATACGAAACTGGTATTTACATGTATGGCATGTATATGAAAGCAGTGGTCGAAGACCCCGTGGGTTTAGAGTATCTTTCAAAACTAGGCAGGGGGGCAATGAGGAGAATAATTCAGAAAATTATTGATGGAGGTGAGCGTGGTTATGTTAATTTGCCAGAAGAGTTCTCGAGGAGGAGATTTGAGACTAATGCTCAGTTTGCCACACTTTGGTCTTGTCGCTGTGGTGTTGCCAATGCTCAACTTGAATGGCATGACGAATTGTTAAAGGGGCCAAGCATGTGCACGTCGTGTTTCTGGGCACAAGAAACGCAAAAGTTCTTCGTATTTGTTTGGTATGCAGCGCGTTCTAGGCCGTCAATGGAAGAATGGTGACTGATTGGTGCAAGTCAACCAGTTTCGGTGTGTACACCTGCGTTGTGTACACCTTGGTGTGTACACCTAAGTTGAGTACACCTCGGCGTTGCTGTTATTTCGTACTTTAAGATTTAAAATTTTATTTAGCCCTACTACGTATGTATGTATGTAGGTGTACTTTGTTTTGCTTTCTATCTATGGATACTTTAATTGTGCTGACTTTATCTAATTTCAGTGGGTGGTAGTGCAAGTTTTTCGAGAACCGTTCTCTTATATCTTTAAAGTCTCAGTTTACCTCTCTGTGTACGCCTAATAACTATAAAAAAAAGAACACCTCAATCTGGACTCAATATGTACACCTAAATTTGTACACCTGAATGTTACAGTTATCACATATTATATATTTGAGTAAACAAACAGCATTATCTGTTTTCAGAGAATTTTCGGAGAACATGGATATACAGAAGACATTATTTATTAAAAGCCTTACCTTACCTATTTCTGTACGCATATTTTCAAAAAAAATTCATGATTTCGTCTATGTGGACTCAATCTGTACTCTATATCTCGGTTAACGTGATGTTGAGAAAACGTCTGTAATGATGACAAGAAATTTATTTTCCAACAATTATAAAAGGGCTGTCTTGTTAATGAAATTTCGATAATATCATAAATAGTAATAGTATTGTCTCAGAAATCATAAATGTACTGTGGTATATCAAAAAGTACATTAAAGCATTCATCAATAAAGTTAATTGGTGAAATTTGCTTTGATTTGGTGATTCTTTGTATTTATTGTGGTAATTTAATTTTGCCGGTAAACGAAAAGACACATTTTCGTCTCTTTTCAACGTCTCTCTTCAAAGACAGCTATTCGGCTCTATTAAAACCGCACTACCTCTTTAAATTCAATCCCTTCACCGTAACTGCCTACTTAGAACCATCATAACTTCCTCTTTCGTACCATTTTCAATCCTTTCTCCTCTTCCTCATTCCATTTTCTTATCTTTTCTCTTTTCACCGAAATAAACGATGGTTCCAAGGAGAAACATAGGTGGTGATGCTGATTTTTCCTATCTTCTCTCACTCCCTGATGAATTGCTGGAACAAATTCTGGCCGCTACAAACCCAACTATAAGGGAAATAGCCCGCCTCCGTGCTGTTTGTTCTCGTTTCAACCGTATCGGCACAAGCAAGGGTTTCTATCGAGCCATTGATCCCGCCAAAATCGTGCATGAACAAGCGGCGGTTCCACATTACCCAACGATGATGAGGAGATTCCATGACGCGGGTAATCTAGGGGTTATTTTTGAGAGGGGGATGCAAGCCTACTTTTTCTTCCACGATGGTGAAGGCGTGGAATTGATAAGGGCTGCTGCGGAGGGAGGCTACGACCGAGCCCTTTTTGTGTACGGGATGTGGCTCAGAGCTGTGCCGAAAGACTTCGTCCGTGCAGAGGAGTATTTGGGTAGGCTCACGGTGCAAAACCGGAGGAGGATGAGCCGGTTGTTGCTGGCCGACGTTCCACACAGATGGAATTTCGATTTGCCAGTGGATTTCACTGAGAAAGCGGCTGCCTTTCATCCGAGATTCCTTGCGCTGTACACCTGTCACTGCGGGGTTATCAATTACTGGCTCCAGTGGTTTGCAGAAGACTTTAAGCAGCCAAAGTGCACAACCTGTTTCTGGGCCCAAGAGACCCAAAGGTTCTTCCGCTTCATTAGGAACGTCGTTCCAAGCTGGTCGTTCATGCTCGATTGGTGAAAGCCGTAATCTTAGTATTTGCTTGCATTCGTGTCTCTTTAATTATTTATGTTGTCTAAGTGTTCCAAACTACAACTGATGTTTTTCAAATTGCTTGTCTGCTTTCGGTTTTTAGTTGCAACTCTTACTTTTGTATAAACATAATCTAAGGAGAATTAGAAGTTGATTTTATGATATTTATGGTACTTATGTTCGTAAATGTAGTAATTAATCATCAAGCTCTTAAAATGTTTTGTATCAACATGAAAGTGCCAGGATATCATTTCGTCTAGGGCAGTAATTAATTATGTACACCTCTTCACTGTAATTATTTATGTACACCTATTACCGTATACCTATAGACGTACACCTACTTACGTATACCTAAAACCGTAAACCTAAAGACGTACACCTACTTACGTAAACGGGGTCAGATATAGATTGGAAACGTAAAACAGGTTGAAAATATAATAACATTACACATTTTTAAAGAACGATGAATACTGGAACGTAAACGTACACTAAAATTGGTATACGGGATCGTAATCGTACACCAACATTGGTATACGTGATTGTAAACCCTTTTTTGACATAAGGCTGTTAAACATAAGGCTGTTATAAAAACGTAAAACAGGTTGAAAATATAATAACATTACACATTTTTAAAGAACGATGAATACTAGAACGTAAACGTACACTAAAATTAGTATACGGGTTCGTAAACGTACACCAACATTGGTATACGTGATTGTAAACCCTTTTTTGACATAAGGCTGTTATACATAAGGCTGTTATAAAAACTTCATATTTATTTTACAAACAAGCGACAAGCGAGCATAGCACATCGATACTAAAACATTTTTGCTATGCGTTCTGCCGAACATCTAAGATAACAATTTTCACATGTAACAATATAATGCACATTCTCGTGATACACTTCGCACGACGCAGAGTTGTCTTCATGAATGAGACTAGGGTACCTGAACTTTTCCTTGTATGTATGTTTATTACGTGGGCAAAATGACCAGAATAAATCTACTATCTCTGCGGCGACTTCAAGAATTTCACGAGAATCATGAGGATAGTGGTACATGAAAACCATCTTAAGAAGTTTTTTCCCTCTGTTAGGGCGACCCACGCACATTTGCAAAATCGCACAGCTGTAAGTCGCATAGACGTCTGATGGCACGAGCTTATTTAGCATCCTGATGGCGGTGTAGATCTTCTGCTCTGTTGACACGAACCTTATAGCTTCGACCAATATGGCCCGTGGATTTCTCGACGCTAAGCAGCGCAGGAATAAAGGCCGATATACTCCACCAGGGTATATCCGAGATGGTGTGTCATGCAATGTCCATAGGTATGCTGATCTGAGTACTTCCGCGCTATACGCAATGTCTCTACCACGGGTCCCGGCCAGAATAATCGGTCCAAGGTCGATGCAGTCAGACTGAGAAACTTTCTTCACAATGATTTCGAAAATATGATCTGGTAAATCTGGTAAATCTGGCATTTTTTGGGAAGGTTATAGGGTTTGTGTAAGGTTTGTGTAGGGTGAACTTTCTGCGCAATGTTATGAAACTATATATTGAATTCCATGGGTAGTTGTTGTTGAGAAATAGTTAATGGTAAGACAATTAGTGTGTAGTTGAACAGAAGTAATATTACAATAAGTTTGTGAAGTGATGTTTACCAACTACAGAAATTAAAGAAGTAGTTACATTGTTACAACTAGTTAAGTTGTTAGTAGCTACTTGTTACAACATCAATCGTCAAGTGATTTTCACTTAGTTTCCACCTTAAATTTATTACAAAATTAAACAAGCACTTGCAATTTAAATAATTAAACTAAATTAAATATCTTATGCGCAGAGCCGTGCATTGTAGAAGGCAATACTCGCAGTCTGGTGTATTTGAGCAATCGTAATGGTC